GTTTTTGGTTTTGTTTCGAATGAAAGAAGGGACGCTCATGGACTTCATGACCATGAGCGTCCCTTCTGCAAGATACCTTCTGCAAGATACCTTCTGCGGCACCATCTGCAAGATAAGCCACATGCGTGGCTTATCTTGCAGATGGTGCCGCTCGTGCTCAGTGCTCCAACATCGACCGACAAAGTCCCGGCCCTGCCCAGATTATCCCCGACAGCATCCCGTGACGTCATCGGGGCCAACCTATGGAACTGGAAGACTTCGGTGACGTCACCACGCGAAGAAGACATAAAACCTCGTCCGCTTCAGCGGCACCTCAGTGGGAGCGGCGGCGCTACAGCAGCAATGTCGCTGAAACATGCGTGGCTTATCTTGCAGGTTGGTTATTATGCTTCTGCATCTTACTATCGTTCCTGCAATCTTTTTTTTGATTGTGCTGCCGCTCCCAGCGAATTGTTTTGGCATTTTGTTCAAGTTGTGGTCAGAATTGGTGCTAATGCTTTCCGGGGACATTGAACTCAATCCCGGACCAACTGTTGAGGAAACGCTAGAGACAATCTTAAAGACACAAACTCAAATACAAGCTAGGCTAACTCAGATGGAAGAAAAATTGGAACCTTTGTCTGAATATGCAGCTAAGATAAATAACCTTGACATTGCTGTTGAAAGCCTCCAGCGCACGATTGAACAACAGCAAAAAAGGTTAAACGAATTGGAAGACAGGGCTAGAAGAAATAATCTTCTTGTTTTTGGTGTCACTGAGACTGATAAGAAAACACGACAGGACATTGAAGAGAAAGTATTAAAAAACATATTCTCAACGCACCTTGGTGTTACAGTGTCCTCAGTAGAAAGAATTCACCGCATTGGTCAGAAGAAAAGGAAACAGGACAGACCAGTAATTGTAAGATTTTATGACTACAATTAAAACGTGGCCATATTTAGGAGCTGCAAAAAATTGAGAGGTACTAATATCGGAGTCTCTGACGACTACTCAAAAGAAACATTAGAAAAAAGGAAGTCCCTTTGGCGCTCTGCTCTTGATGATAGGCGCAATGGTGCGAAGGTGAAGCTTGTTCGAGATAAGCTTTACATCGACGACGCTGCTTATACGTGGGATTCCCGTTCCCATACACGCGTGAAAGTTAAGAACGCTCAAAGCGAAGCACGCAGCCCGGTCTGACAAAAGAAGCAGTGCGACATAAAGCTGATAAACGTGAACGCACGAAGCGTTTTGAACAAAACAGAAGAACTAGAATCGTTGACACTAATTTATGACCCTGACTTCGTGGCTGTAACAGAAACTTGGCTAACTGAGGATGTTGCAGATGCCGATGTTTTCCCCATTTCATTTCATGTACTGCGTAATGACAGACTAACCCGAGGCGGAGGCGTTGCTTTACTGATTAAGAAAACTCTTCGGTACGAATTATTGTCGCCCATTAAAGACTGTGAGAACGTGTGGTGCAAATTATTTATGGGAGATATCACGTTACTTATAGGGGTTCTCTATAGGCCCCCCGGAACTTCAGTTGATATTTTTGAGAAATTGGATGACTACTTGCTAACAATGACAAACAAACGAAGCAGAGTAATAATCACAGGCGATTTTAATTTACCAGGTGTTGACTGGAATGCACGAGTTGCTGGGCCGCTTAACAGGCCTTTTGCAGAAAATCTGCTTGACATCATGATCAAGTACAATTTGGTTCAGGTAGTTGACAAGCCCACTCGAGTTCAAGGACAAACCGAGACATTGTTGGACTTACTATTTTTGTCACAGGAAGTGTTTGATTATGAAATAAGTATCGAGGATGGAATCTCGGATCATAAGGTGGTTGCAGCAACTCTTAAACCAAATAAAAAATTAGAAAAAATAACCAGAGTAAAGTTGTACAATTTTCAGGCCGCAGATGATACCTCAATTCTTAATTACTTAGAAATGGCTTTTGACGCTATCCCGCCTACAGATGATGTAAATGACCTCTGGGAATACTTTAAGAAGGTAGTAAACGACTGTTTGTCACGTTTTGTTCCCCAAAGAGAAAAGAGAACTGCAAAAGCTAACCCATGGATTACCAGAAGTATCATTCACCTAAAACGACGACTATGTCGCGCCCATCAGAAAATACCAAGAAACTCGTCTGTTATTGCTCACATTAGTGCTCAGAAACGAAGAGAAGTCAAGCAATCTAAAAGTAATTTTCTAACTAATATATTGTCTGAATACATATCCAACTCTCCCCAGAAATTTTGGCGGTACTTGTCTAGTTCGCAGTCTGAAATAACTGGGCTTTCTATAGACGGGACCTCCTATAGCGAACCGATTCAGATTGCCGAAGCACTCAATCATTACTTCAGTACTGTTTTTTCTCCAAGTATTGATCATTCAAAAAAAAAGGCTGTACGTTTGATTATACTAGTTCCAATCTTCTTACCGTATCTAAAGAGCGCATAGTGGCATTACTGCTTGAATTTGATCATAAAAAATCACCTGGTCCGGATATGATTCCCAACGAATTTTTGAGGCGCTACTCTGATTGGGTTTCTAGTTTCTTAGTTAAAATTTTTAATTTATCTTTGTGTACTGCCGCTGTTCCGATTGATTGGTTATTAGCAAGAGTTGCGCCCATTTTCAAAGCTGGTGACCGCCTTAATGTTTACAATTACCGTCCAATTTCTATCACATGCACGGCGTGCAAAGTAATAGAACATATAATTTCAAAATATATATTTCAATATATAGAAAACAATAATCTGTTTTATAATAAGCAACACGGTTTTAGAAAAGGCCTTTCAACCGTAACTCAGCTTTTTGAATCTGTTCATGCTTTCGCTACAGCGATAAACTCAAATGAACAAGTTGATGTCATAGCAATTGATTTCTCTAAGGCCTTTGATAGAGTATGTCACCAGAAACTTATTAAAAAAATGTTAATACTTGGTATTGATCCCGCAATTGTAAGATGGGTTGAAGCGTACTTGCGCAATAGGTTGCAGTTCGTTGAAATAAGTAGCGCACGTTCTTCTCCTTTACGCGTATCCTCAGGTGTGCCACAAGGCTCCGTGTTGGGACCTCTACTCTTTTTAATTTATGTGAATGATATTGCAACGGTTGTGCCTCCTTTTGTTGATGTAAGGTTATATGCAGATGATTGTCTCTTGTTTTGTCATGTGAAAAGTGTTTCTGATCAAATGCTCCTCAATGATGCTCTTCGATGTATTGACAACTGGTGTGAAAAATGGGACATGAAAATTAATTTTGATAAAACTGTTTGCATGACAATTTCAAATAAAAAATCCCCCCTTAACTATAAATACACAATAAACAATAGAGAAATTAAGAGTTCTAATGAGTTTAAATACTTAGGTGTTACTATATCCAGCAGTTTAAAGTGGGACAAGCATATTGACAACATTACAGGACTGGCGAAGCGAAAGCTGGGTTTTCTGAGAAGGAAACTCCGTAATGCAACGCCCTCTGTTAAATTGTTGGCGTATAAGACTATTGTTAGACCAACGCTGGAGTACGCAGCTATCATCTGGGATCCGCATACTAAAACTGAAATTAACAAACTTGAACGAGTACAAAGATTGGCCGCGAGGTTTATTTATTCAAATTACATGAGAACACAGTCTGTATCACTTTTGCTTGCTAGGGCTGACCTTCAATCGTTAGCTACACGTAGTAAAATAGCTCGCTTAAAATTTATTTATGACCTGTATCATAAGAACTACAAGCTGGATCCCAGTGTATACCTGCGCCCCCCAGGACGAGTGTCGGCTCGTACCAATCACTCATTTTCTGTCCAAGCTTATGTACCGCGGGTGGAAGTATTTAAGTTTTCGTTTCTGGTGCGATCCATTGTTGACTGGAATGCGCTTCCTCCCGAGGCACTTACAGGATGTAGATCCTCATAGGATTTTCAATGACGGCTGGACTTGTTTTTTGCCTAACATTGTTTGTGCATTGTTCACCAGTTCACCTCCCACCCCTGCTACAGCCCGCAAGGGCTACCTGTATTGTAAATAAATAAATAAATAAATGACCCGATTTCAATTGGTGAACCTAAAAGATCATGGTAATGAAGTGAAACTGCAGAACATTTGGTGATTTTTGTTCGTGACAACGTATAGCGAGCTCTAAGCCATGCGAAGCCAAATAGTGTCGAAAGTACGAAGATTAGACAAATCCATGCTGGCTGATCATTCGCATGCTGACTGAAGCGCCATGATTTGCAGCTCCCATAGAAACTAGCGGCAGAGTTCCCTCTACTGTACCCATAGGAAACTCTATGATTACCTGTACGTATGTAGATGATCTGATCTGTTGCGGATTTTGTGTGTGCGTGTGTTTGTGTTTGTGCGTGCGTGCGGTGGGGGGGTGAGTGTTAGAGGGTTAAGGGGGTTCTGTGCATAAATATTTGGCTTCGAGCTGGTCTCGCAAGAAAACAACTTCTCTATATAGACCCAAAGAGAAAAGAAAATGAAAACGTGGCACGCGATTCACCAACAGGTCTCGTCAAGCTGCGCCGCGGGTGTTTCAACGTTCTGCCACGGGGCAACAGGGGGGCTTCGCACTCGGGACGGTTGGCGGAGGGAGGATGTCATCCACGAGCGAAGAATGGAAGAACGAACAAAACGGGATGAAGCAAAGGGGAAATAGGGAGAGAACGCACAACGTTTACGGGGGGGGGGGGGGGGGGGGGCGTTATACTGGTGCAGAGAGGAGAAACAACAAAAGAAAGAAAGTGTGCGGGAAAAGAATAGGGGGCATCGGGGAGGTGCTGCGGAGAAGAGATTTAGCGGATCCCGGGCGTCGTACAGTGATGAAAAAAAAAAAAAAAATGTGCGAGAAAAAGCGGTGATCCGGTCGCAGGACAAAAGTCCCGCCGCGCCGCCGACGTGCGAGAGAGAGGAGGAAGCGAACGCCACGCGCCGCGCTCGCGAGGGTATATGCGCAACTGAACCCCTCTTTCTTCTCTCTCGCTCAGCCTCCTCTCTCTCGCCTCTCCTTGCCACGCGCATGCGCCGAGCGGCTTCTCAATGGAAGCCGGGATTCAGTGCGCTCCGGTCAGCGCAGCTCTGTGGATGTGGGCCGCAGCCGAAGGAGCCGAGTAGGGGCTGCAGCCGTGGAGAGCGGCGTTTTCCTCGTCACTGGGTCGTCCGACGGCCGCATCGCGTTGCGCGTGATCGGCGTTGTTCTTTCGTTTGTTCGCTTCTTCAGCGAAGGATGTTGTCGCCGTCTTGTGCTCGTCGACAGTGATCTCAGCCAGTGGTGTCCACCGTTCGGAACGCCGAGAGAAGGATTCCCCCGCCGACCCATGCACTTACTCTGAGGTGGGGGCCTGTTGGCAGCGGGACGGGCCGTTGTGTTTCCGTCCGGTGTCGGAATCACGCGTACTTGTCGACGGCTCCGTGCGTCGGCCTCTTTTTCCCACGGGTTCGCCGCCTCTTCTTCCTGTCGCCGGCTCTTTCTGCAGCGGCTCCGTTCCTCGGATTATCTTTCCTGCATTTCCGGACGTACACTGCGGTGCATTCTGAAAGTGTCCCAAAGCATTGCTGGCTTCTCTCCTTCCTGTGCTCGTCTCGGCATCATCCGGTGAGTATTCCCAATGTGTGGTACCACTGAATGCACTTAGTTTCTTTATAAAGTTAGTCGCAAGTTTGAAGTTTATTTCACATATGTAAGCACATGCAAAACGTGTATTAACGCTGTATGGCCCCTTAGCCGAAGGCTAGTTGTGTGTACCAACATACACAAATACAAATGTGCAATAGGTATTAAGAAGTCAAGGACACAAAATTACGGGTAGTGAGCACTGTCAAAAACAATGCATATAAATCAGTTTCAATGAAATATACAGTGAATTTTCATGACACAGCATCTGGATATGTCTTGTAGCGTGTCGGTCACTATAACGCCAAAAGTTCTGTAGCTTTGTGTGTGATTCAAGTTCCTTACGAGCAGGGTAACATTGTACGGGCAAGAAGATTGCACGCAAATGATTTACTCAAGAAACTGACGTGAACATGAATGCGTAGCATTTTTCGTTAAAGCAAGCTGAGCTCTAGTTTCGCTATAAAACCACAAGATCAATTTCGATGCCTAAACTCAGCTGCGTAACTTTAGAAATATGGAGTTCAGGTCGAAGCAACCTTTTCTAGCTTTTTGGTCAACCCCTTTGCATACCAGTATTCCACTATAACATTTAGATAACAAACATTTTTTTAGATGCAATTCAGCTCGTGTTCACCATCTTTGTGCCAAAACGCGCAAGAAATTTTCCGGTACATGTTTTCTGGTTAATTCGATGACGTCACGCCCACCAATCGTACCATGAGCGTAGCACGTATACGTCATCGGCAATTCATGTGTTACCTGGCATGCTCAGTCAGTATATTTGATAGACGAGAAGTGAGAACTGGGAATTCATGCTTGACACTTAGGCCCGTGTTCATATACCAACCTTGTCTTTCTTTAAGCTTCGACACTCTACTTGCGTTACAAAGGCATGCAAATGATGACGGAAAGATAACTGCAAGATTTATCTGGGAATGCGGATTTACTTTGCTTATCAAACTGCCGAACCGGGTAAGGAAAACGCGAGATAAAGATAAATTTGTTACGTGGATGCGGTTCTTAGATTTTTTTTCTCCGTAAGTCAACCGTTGATCTGACCCCCAGAATTGAGACACGAAACATTCAAGCCGGCATCAAAGTTCAGCTCGAAAAATAGAGCTGAACGCTGTTCCGGGAGAAACATCATTTCTGACCAGTGCCACCACAATTTTATTGGCAAGAACTTTTTATGAAGTTAGTTTATAATGTAGTTAACAATTCATGACGTGGTAGATGGGTGAAAGAGAAATATATAAAGAACTCCCTTTATATTAGTGTTTCTTCGCTGCCCTATGTCGTTGATTGATTTATATGTGGGGTTTAACATCCCAAAACCACCATATGATTATGAGAGACGGCGTAGTGGACGGCTCCGGAAATTTCGACAACCTGGGGTGCTTTAACGTGCACCCAAATCTGAGCACACGGGCCTACAGCATTTCCACCTCCATCGGAAATGCAGCAGCCGCAGCCGGGATTCAAACCCGCGACCTGCGGGTCAGCAGCCGAGTCACTAGACCACCGCGGCGGGGCTGCCCTATGTCGTTATGTATTACGATTAAAAAACTGTCCTTATTACCTCAAGTCGAAGTTTTAAGCTGCAGTAATAATACGTATGTTAACATTGCGCAACGCCTGTTCTTCATGGCGAGTATAAGCCAGGTGTCCGCCAGTCCTGCGAAACAAGTGCTGCAGCAGCTACGATGAGCTAAGTTCTATGTAAAGGGCATGCAAATAGCAACTTTTTGTGCCGCATTGAATGTGTCCGCGAATCGAATACTTCTTGAAGCCAGTCCCTTGTGCCGTATCGGTTCCGGTGCTCGGCTGCTGATCCACAGGTCGCGGGTTCGATGTCCACTGTGGCGGTCATATTTCGATGGAGGCGAACCGATAAAGAGGCCTGTGTACTGTGAGATGACAGTGCACGTCACAGAACACCAGACGGTCCTAATTTCGGGAGCCCTCATTTCACAACACGCCCACATTGCAAGTCTCGTTCAACACGGCGTCTTTCATATTCATATTGTGGTTTCAGGACGTATATAAAACCCCGGATAATATTACCACCGAATACTTTTTTATTTGATTTATAATGTCGAAAAGCCGTTTTTACGGTTAATACGAAATCATCTTCATGCCTATGTATTCAATATTTTTTTAGAATGGAAGCACCAAAGTGGCAGCGAGAACAATTAAAATTATTCGCTTGCGCAAAACGCTTCACAAATCCCGAAAGATCGTAGTACAGGCAGTAAAGTATGGCTTTTCCAGCGACGTGCAGCCGGCGGGCTGCCCGTCACTGCAGACGAAACCGGGATTTGTCGCCTGTATAACGATAATTCGAGATTTCTGAAGCGTTTGGTGCGCGCGGAAGCATGGCGTATGGGCGCCCATGTTTTATTTCTCTGCTATCCTGCGTAAAATAAATTTATGGCGGTTTTCCTGGAGCCTCGTGTTTTCTTAGGTGCACTTGACGTGCTAAAATATTCTTGACTTTCTCACGTCAGTCTTTGTGTATGCGAACAGCGTTTAATCGATAAGAAGGCTCACTTGAGTAGAACACATTCTGATCATATTTCCGAATCATTCGAACACCCGTTAGACGAAACACTGCACGCGCGGCTGAGTATGTGCGACAGGAAACAAGAAGCATTCCGAACGTTCCTTTGCATTTACACGTGTGTGCAAGAGAAAGCTCGGTGTAATCAAACGGGATGTTAGCCTAAGATAACAAACAGAACAAAAACAAACACCAGAAGTCGCGTGCCACACCGAAGATATCACCATTCCTTTCGCAACTGCTTGAGCGGGACGCTTTCTTGCCGCTGGCGAGTTTACTTCAAACACGCTCCACCAACGCACTCCTACAGCAGGAGCAAGTCTTAATTAAACTGGAAGGCCCGCCTCCCCCGGGCTCCTTCGGTTCAGCAATCCTATTCACAGAACGAACGCCGGACGGATTTCGCGAGGTTCTTTGCCGCCGGAGGCGTTATGCAAGAGCGAATTCTCTAATTGGCCCGGAGCCGAGTCCAAACTATAGAGCTGCTATATATGTACGGAGAGCTGCACGCTTAATCTCGTTACTTTTATTATTCTATAGAGAATCAGCGAGTCTATAGCGCCGTAGCTTGTGCGAGAGCGCATAGCTGCTGGTCCTGTCCCAAGGGGTGGACAAGGTGCGTTGGCCGTCGGCCGTGACCGTTTCGGTAGCGCTGCCATTTAGTTAGTTAAGGGGTTGGTCCAGCTGATGCTGAACTCCACAGAACGTTCGGAGCTCTTTGGGACTTGACTGTAGCTGCCGAGGGTGCCACAAATCTGTTTTGATGGTCCTGTGGGGCTTGGGACGTGGGCTGTTCATTACGAAACCGCGCTCGGACAACTTTTGCTGCTGCGTTGGATAAATGAGCCCTTCATTAGCAAAGGGGAAGAAAACTTGCAAGTGACCCAGTCTGACGGGCACATTCGCTTCACCGGATGTCCCTCCCTAAAGGTCAGGGTAACTCATCTCAACAATTCTGAGGATGCCGGCATCCCAGATGAACAAGCCGTATTGTGTTAGACTACTGAGCGGACAGTCTATTTCGGGGCACGCTGACTGGATGAGACTCTATACAGTCGATGGACTCGATTGGCGCCGACTCCCGAGCATTGTGTGCCCGATCAATGCGCTTTGAAAGACACGTCCCTTCAGTCGACTGCTGAATATGGAGTACTCCTTATGGTTCTTAAATTAAGGCGGAAAGAATTTCGCTTCGTGCTGAGCAGGCTTCAAGACGCAAGCACTTACGTGAGCACCGTGCAGTTTCTCCCAAAGGTTTTCGGGTTATCTATAAACCGGTGGAACAGCTGAGCCGTCATATTTAAACCTTTTCAACTGATAAGCAGAACGATATGCAGCGGCACGCACTTTGGTCTTCTCCTAGCACCACGATGAGAGTCCCATGGTAGATTAGGACTCATTTTCAGGAATCGATTTTTAGATGGCGTGAAAACTTTTTGAAGTATCTCTGTGACTTGATGAGCTCTTTGTGTTGTTTATTTGTGTAGTTTTCGTCTTCGGCTTCAGATTCATCGCTTCTTTACGTTTGTGGTCTACATCATATGTTCAATGATTCATAAGGCATCGAGCTTTATCGACACACGCAACTGAACATCCCTATAAATTCACCAGTTACAACACCATACAATGTACATAAGGTAGGAAAACACATGCTTACCTCCTCAAAATAAGCTTGCTGTCCAAAGGAAGAGCACATAACTATTATTTATTGCTTGTTTATTCATCAGTCTATTAAGTATGTTTCAGTACATGGTGCCGTGGGCTACACCTATGTCGTGCTTTGTCATTGACAGAGTAGCATGGTGCAAATGCTGCAAGCACTGATAAGAGAAATGAATAAACATGATGACATCAGTTCGAAAGCCTACTCACGCAGTACACAGAATAAGGGGTACGTCCCTGGGAATACCACAACGTAAAAATGTTGTTGTCTTTTTTTACGACTTCTTGTTTCTTGAATTATATATATGTTCGTCTAAACAGAAACAACAATGATGTTCTTTTTTTTCTCCTGAGACGAAAAACAACTCCGAAGGTCAATAATGTCTCCACATGATTTATCTGTACACGAAGTTCCCTTCGAGGTAGTTATAGCTTTGCGTTGAAGTACGAATAGATCGATACCACTGCAAATTGCAGCGAGTTCGTGATCTTACCAGAGTTTTAGAAGTCACCATTCTGGAGCAGTTAGCGAGGCTGTATACACACAGGATATTGACTGAAAGCCCTGCTGCGCGCCACCATAAGCTTTCGTCGCAACAAAACAGCGCAGTAAACTGTCAATGGGACATCTGAAAAACCAAAATCTCGGATTGTAGCTGTCACGTTCAGTACGAACTATTCTGAACATGGACTCTGTCGGGGCCTCACGGCTGCGCTAATGTTTTCCCTTCGTTCGCGTTAAGTCAGGTTAAGCTCG